TGAATGCCCAACTGATTCCAGGTGACCACTTCCATCAATTCCTCCAGGGTGCCATACCCACCTGGTAACGCAACAAAGCCCGAACCTGGACCCCCGGCAATAACTTCTTTAGCCATCATTGATTTCCGCGCATGCATATCTTTCACCACAGTAGTTCTACCATAAATCTCATATTCAGGAAGTCCGTCTCCGTTTTCAGGTGTTCCAGTTCCGTTTTCCTTGCTGTGAATACTGGCCGCGTCGCTGTTGGGCCCGCGCTCATATTTCACCAATGGAGCGGGTATGATGCCGTGCACGGAAGTGGGACCAGAGAGTGCAACGAGTGTTCGAGCTACTTCACCCATGAGTCCGACGGTGCCGCCACCGTAGACGAGTGATATGTTCTGCGCAGCCATGTGCTGGGCGAGAGAACGCGCCATGGCCATGTGAGAGGGAGAGATGCCCGGGGAAGAACCGCAGAAAACGCATATCTTTGTGGGGGGTGGAGAGGTAGAGGAAGAGTTGGTTGTTTGGGCTAAGGGAGAGGAAATGGATGGGTTGGTTGATTCGCGAAGGGAGGGGACGGGGGAGGCGGCTGAGAGAGGAGAGGCGCCACCGGATGCCATTTTGTTTTATTGGTATGAATGTGGAAAGTGTGGGTGATAGTGATATTGGTTGTAAATTTTGAATTAAAAGAATATCTTGTGTATTGAAAGTCTTCTTTGTTGTTGTATGTTGTATACTGTCTGTTGGATTCGAGGTCTGATCAAGTAAGTTACGTACTTTAAGTACCCAAGAGAATTAGTGGTAAGAGTGGATGTATCTGCAGGTACGAGTTGTCTGGTGACGATCACAATAGAGAAGGAAAACCTGTAAGAAAAGGAAACGTGGTTTTGAATTAGAGAAAGGACTGTGTTGATTTCTTGGTACGGAATTGACTGAACCACAATGAATTATCTCTGATCACATATGTGATTGGGAAGGAAGGGAAGAGAGGTAAGAGAGGTACGAAATAGTAATGTTAAGATAATTGTTGGGTATGATACACTCCACCCCGCAGTCTGTGGGGTCGTTAGCGCTGTATGATTGGTGTGTGGATGATCACAAGGGGTCGAAGCTGAAGGGCCGTTATGTCATTGTGCTTATGTAATAGTAACCTCTCACTGCATTCAAATTTCCCTACACAATCGCTTCCCCGGTGAGCTGCTAGTTATTGATCATTTGATGGACTCGGGTATGGAATTATTCAGAAGATGTTCAGACGACATCAACATTGTTGAAGGATTAAGAATCTGGTCATTGAAATTCCTAGGTTCACAGCATGGTCTTCAATGTGGATTCGAACTTGTTGATCTCACAAGTGTGCTACCCGGTAATCACTCGTTGAAGCACCACATCTCAATCTCCAGCGAGGACCAAGTTTATGGACTATCTGCTACACAATCGTTTCCAGCGTGTTGCAATCAGATATTTTGTTCATGTGATAATTAGATTTGGAGTTGTCGTTGTTTTCTCTAGTTAAGATGGGATGATATAGCATTTGCTTTCCCCATAAATGATTGGGAGTTACACAGGATGAAAGCCAGTGATTAGACTTTGAGATTTCTTTGGCAATTCAGTCTGATAGAGACACCATCGCGGTTTAATATCTGGTAGAAACTGTGAATGTGTCAAAGCTCAAAACCGATCTAAGACTTATTAGCTCAAGTTCTCCAACGTTTCTCACCTACTCAAGTGAGCTTCCTGCTTGCACTTTGAGTATCAAACGGCACGTAAAGCAGTATGCTACAGGACCCAGCACATTCAACGTCTCACGACCCGATTATCTTGATCCGCCAGTAGCCCGTTACCCCAGACTCATTCTGAGATCACACACATAGCCTTGATCACACGACAAATGACGCTGACCGGTCATGTATCTCTGTCTGGTGGGTTTATGTCTCCATCAAGTCCATCACAATTTATGTGTCTGATAGTGAGTGTATTCGCTGCTATGTTTTACCTCGTATCAATCCTCCTATTCTTAATCAATGACAACAGCTCGAAAAGTTCACCCATGCCGTCGCCTCTTCTGACTATAAACATGCTCAAATCAGTATCTTCATCCCTCCAATACATACATCACACTTGCTTCCCATTATCCCTTTCACAAATCAATATGTGGAAATTTTGGACTCAGCCCTCTTCATTGCTTAGTCTAGGTGCTAGAACTTGGCTAGTAATGGGGGTAGCCCGGATTTGGGGGTCATGTTGGTACTTATCTGGGCTGTCCGATTTCCTGACTTGGCTGAGTCTGAGAAGGGGGGAGAGACGAGGAATTCGCACTAGAGGTGGGAAAGGGCTTGGGGAGGACGGAGAAGGATTTGTTGCATTATAGATTGGCTTCAACCAAGAATCAAGCGAGGTTTCTCATTATTAGGTGAAAGAGTTGAAGTGGGTGGGTCTGTGTTTCTGGGGCAGTGTTGTAATTAGTATACGGTAGTATTACTGTGACTGATATAGAGAGTACAATACGCACGCTAGTACGTATAATAGCCAATAATATTCACGTCCGTACGTATCATACAAAAGGAGCTATACTGAAGATCTACTGAAATATGAGAATACACATAATTTCATCCGAATATTGTATATTTTCATTCGAATATTGCATATTTTATTCGAATATTATATATTTTGATTGACTTTAAGCCCAATAAGGAAAGAGATTATTCAAAATATGTAAATTTCCGTATTTCAGCATATTGCTAGTGATATTCGATATTATTGAAATATAGAATACTTTCAGTGATATGTAATTCAATAATAATTACTAAAATATTTTCATAAATATCAATATGTACCACTAAAGTGGGGCGTAATTGAAATACGGAAAATACTAATTACAACACTGTTCTGGGGTTCGCATAAGTGATTCTACTAGACTTGGCATTGGTCTGCGGGATAGTAAATAATAAAAGTAGTCCATCTAGCATTTGGTTCTAAGAATGCACATTGGGATTAAGAAGAGTCAAAAATATATCCTCATCACAAATTTTCAAACTAGAATTACAGAATCTGAACCTTTAGTTGGCCAACTAGTATTCTTGTCTAGTCTGTTCATCAAGTCTGGAATTTACACAACACAGTACAGGGCCCGCAAAGGATGAGAGGAAGTATAAGATCATATCTCGATGGTATTCTATTTCCCCATAAGACCTTCCCTCATGTTCTTGTCCTCTGCTCTCTCATTCTCAATATCTGAGATTTAGTGTTTTGGATGACAAGCTTCAACGAGGTCCTCTGGCCTTAGCTTTTAGTAGAGGAGCGAGGAGAAGGAAAAGGTAGATTTAGTTAGTGAAGAAACATGGAAGGAAAGTCTATAGGGACTGAATTTTATTTTATATCATACCAATTTAAGGTAGTTTGTTGGAAAAATAATTACTCAATATGATAGCTATCGAGAACAAGAATTGAGAAGATTGACTGTACTTATCTCTTACAAACGATGTGCTTGAGAACTCCTCTTTAGCATAATATCAGTTTGAATCCGTTTTTTGTACTGTCAGTTTTCTAGGAGATTTTTCTGTCCTGTTTCCTTTCATAGATATTAATAAGTCTCTCTCGTCTTGTCACATAAAGAGAAGTGTTCTCGGGGAAGAAGCAGAGTGCAGCTTTCAGTTGGCAACAAAACATGCATCAGAAGAGACCTATAGACTCTAGTTTCAATTACATTCTCCAATTTCAGAATCAAGCTTCAAATAGTCAAAAACTTCAAGTAATAGGTATCTAATAGCAGATTTAGAGAAGGATGGTTACTCCTACAACCTCCCAATATCACATGGGACTACTTCGATTAATTGCCAATCTCAACTGGATGAACCCTCTCTGCTCCTATCTCATAAATGAGATACTGCATTCCTACTTCCTATATTAAGCGCTACTGAGTCTCCCGTCGTAGTCCCGTGGAGAAGAGGGGAGGAGATGATTGGAATACTGTATCTTAGTAATTTGAAAAAGTGTATTGGATGTTTTCTCTTCCAAACCAATATTCCAAAACCAAGTCTCACAGAACAGCCAAACAAAACCCTTAGAATAGAAAAAACTATCTCCCCAAACACCTCCAATGCAGGGGCATGAAACCACAAAAAATGCCATCTACCTCGTTCTGAGTATCTTGTCTATCCATTAAGCCAGAAAGACGCGCAGAACGAAATCGGCGAAAGATGAGAAGAAGTTCTAGATTATATCTCGGATTAACCTTTGTGCTCGTGGGTTGTTCAAGTGGGTTTTCCTGAGTTGTAGCGATAAAATCTGTGAAAGCTCTCTTGGATAGTACTAGATTATTATCCGCTGTATTGTTAGATCAGGAAACAAAGCCATAGATTTGTAGTAGTTGTTTAATCTTAGTAGGTGCCCTTCGTGGGGTGCTTCCTATGAGAAAGTAAAGAAATAAACAGGTTTTCTGTGGTGGAGAGGTAACAAAAGACCTGATGATCAACCAGATCTGATTTGGGAAGTGTTGTTACAAACTAAGCTGGTGATCAATAGCAAAGGTTTCTTCGTAATACCATTATGTCAACCTTCGCTGCAAAACCAAGGTCTAGCCCACGCTTTCCTGAAAAAAGCTCACATCTCTTTAGACTAAATGAGAGTGATATCATGAAGGGGCAGGTTACATAGCCATAACATTTAACTACAATAAGTGACAGGACAGTCTACTCTTGTGAATGACTGGCCAATTCTCTTTCTATTGCACCAAAAGCTTTCCACCTGAGCAATTCACACATTGCTGCCTCGAGGCACCCATCATGTCGCCGACTAAGCAGAACCTCAGAACTGACTGGATACAGTAATTAGGGCAACTTTTACCCTTGGACCTGATTCCCTTTCTCCCACAATTTCTTCAATTCCCTTTAAAGCACCAACCATTTCAAACAATCCAGAACTTCCACTCCATCAACATCAACACCACCAACAACAATAACAACTTCAACCCTATACAAACATCTACAATTGCTTCGTTGCCTTCGCGTTCCACAATGTCTCAAATTATTACCGACATGCTGAATATTGGCGTGGTTTTAGTCCTACGTGTAAGTTTTCCAACACTTTTTCTTTACCTCCAGAAATCGGCAAGACGCAGTCTTCTTACTTTTATGGAGGCCGCCACTGTTCATTCAGTATTTGGTGATTTTCAATTAAGGGTATGTACTAACGAATGGGAAAGATCACCGTAGGTTTGATCATATGCCCTCACCTGGTAGTCCTATTCTTTACGGAAGTAGTGAGAGGAACAATGAGAGTTCGTTTGCAATTTTAGGGGAGAGGCAACTGTTGAGAATTTGTAAGTTTTATCCATGAATCTCCCTTGTACTTTCTGAGAAGTTTGCGAGACTCAATAACACTTATTGCTCTCCAATAAATCAAAATCTTTCTTGTGCCTAACGATGAGATTTTAGATCGCCGTTCGCACCACCAGGAAGCGCATCGAAAGCCAAGACAAGAGACTGCATCTACTGCGCCTTGCAGTTGGATGGGTAAGCAAGTGACCTTTCTTCAAACTAAAACCGAGACGCAGCAACATACTAACACATTTCGTAGCGCAGAGAGATAAATAATCAACGCCACAACAAAACCTCTTTGCATCGGCTGCAGCAGAGGACCCAACCTTTGTCACTCGAAATGCAAATACCAACGAGGCCCATCGATGTCGAAAGATGCGCTGTTGTGTGATCAATCGGATGGTCACGAACAATCGTGGCTCCTCCCTGGAATATCTTTCGTGGTATGAAATTATTCTTAGTCATTCCTAATTGCAAGCTAACATCACTGCAGTTATACCGAAAAATCGAGCAGAGATTTATTGAGCTTGAAGACATATTCCAAGTTATCATTCATCCAAAACCTATCACCCCTCTTTAGGAGTCCATTCAGGACTCTCTTTTAAATTCTCCTTTCAATTTTTATTTCAAATACAAATTCAAAGATCGATAATCAATTGCAAGATGATTTGAAAGAAACAATTCATCCAGAACTACGCCAACCCATCCAACAGGCGGCTGGCAGACCGAAAACTACTAAATCAAGCGCAAGATTCAATCCCTTCAGTGGTTCTCGTTCCATCGAGTTTAGATCACCGAATCATGTTCTTCTTGAGCATTAGGCAGTTCGCCGACGCCGATTGGGCAACGCAGCATTATAGCTTGTATTCCTAGAATTCATGACTTGGTTACGAGATGGTCTTTTTAGAACGTGGATGTCGAGTGCCACAATAAGCTGCGGCATGGATTGCCAACCAGTCCATCGTATAGCCCTACCTCGCTACCTTACACGCCAACCTCTCCAAATTATAGTCCATCTAGTCCAAACTATGCTGGATGGACTATAACTTGGCGGTCTCAAGTAAGACACTCTGGCTACGGAAATCTCGCAAGAGATCCAATTGGAGCCAGCACTTCGAAGGGAAGATCGAGCACTTCACTCTTCCACTCCAACTCCCATCTCGGCAAGCATCAAAGCCTCCAAGAGTACCCGCGCCAACTCCTTCTTTACCCAAAGGTTTTCTAGCCTTCCAAGCCACTAAATGGCAATTGACCATTGAATACTGCGGAGAATACCAAGTTCAGGGCTCCGATTTTCAATTAGGCATGGCACAGCTTCACCACCATGATAGAAGAATTTATAGGAGCAGGCATGGAAATGAATCAACAAGCTTTAAACCGACGAGGTTTGCAAACCTTTTTTTTGCCCCGGCACGTCAGCCCGTTGAATATCAACAATATCCACAGCCGACGCTGCATACATACAAATTTGCAGATCCTGAGAGGCCCCGCAATTCACAGGCCATGCCGAACTCCATCCGAATACTCTGATATTGCCTCCGCCGCCCAATCCCCTAATCTGGGTCACCAAGATGTCTTCGAAGCGGTAAGCCAACAGCACCCGCCGGTGCAACACCATCAAGACTCAAGACTCTGGAAAGTAATGTCTATCTGCCCATCCTCTCCGACACACTCCGAATAATCTGCAATACCAAGGTATTGTGCCTTTGTGGGAGGGAAGTTCCAAGCACTCGCACAAACGCAGGAAGAATGAGAGAAGCTCCTGAAGCAGGCTCAAGCAAAAGGGGCTTCAATACATTCTCATTCTGCGGGTGCTTGGAACTTCCTGAACCGGTACGTAATGCCGACAAGAATGTGGTTCTCAAGATGAGTCCGGTAAGACCTACCAAGAGCTCGTTCGACAGTCACAACATGATTTTCAATGCGAGTCCTATCGCACCTACAAGCTACTCAGCTGGTGACCATCATGGTCCAGGAACTCCTATTCACTTCTCTCTCTATCTTTTGGAATAGCAAATGTTGTCAACGCAATGATGAGAATACTTGGAATGCACCAATTGAATCATTGCGTAATAATTTGGTCGCTTCAAATTCATCAAGAACATGCATTTATACACCCATAAGAACAACATGATGTGGATTTTCTTCCTGATGAGCTTTCGCCGTTCTTCCCCGTGGCTTGGTATTTGTCTTTCCGAACCACCACTTGATGATTTCGAACTTGAAAGCAATTTGTGTGAAATTTTGGACAGAGACGGGGTCAATGCAAATGATAGGGGAGAACCAGATGACTTCCATCAAGATTCTCAACCCTTTCAACAGACAAACGGCGGGAGACCAAACCATGTACACTGCTGCACGTAATAATCAAACTGCATTCTTGCAGATAGATCAATTTGGTCGATCTTTCCAGCAAGTGGGCCATTCGTCTTTCCATTTGTTGGTACCCTGATACCAATTTCAACAGGATAAGCCCAAGCTGCAGAATTTCACTCCTGTTCAGAAATTGTTATTTCCCTGGCTTTCAGCTGGTATTCTAGTGACGCTTCTCGGCAATGCAAACAAATACTTCCCGAAGACGAGCGAAACCTGTCAGTATATCCTCAGCCTGGTTCACACTCGTACACAGGTGAAGAGGGTCCTCAATATCGCTCTTGTAGCAAGAAAAGATGCTGAAAAGCCATATCTGAATCCGCTTAGACAAACGGCAGGTTGTAATTCTAGTGCTCTTATTGCAGAACTTAAATAAAACATCTGAGCAAATTCACAGTCGACGTGGCAGTCTCTTCCAATTCCCATGCAAATTTCGTCGCGAATCCTCATATGTTTGAAGCAGAGAGAGTCGTTTGTGTCGAAAAGCCCAAGCTTATGAAACCAGGACAACAGGGACACCACGGAACTAGACACTGTGATTACTTCGAATACTCGCTTTTTTGGTACGAGATTACAGACGTGAGTTTCGCTTATGGTCATCGGTGCTTTACATAGCTCTTCTCCGTTGCGGCGATAACCTTCTTGCTGATAATGTCAATGCCTACCACCATGAACTGAAATCGTCAGCAGCGAGAATTCAACAAGCCCCACCTTTGTTTAAGAAATCGTGGATGCTTTTGATACGAAGTTGCTATGCACTTGCTTTACTCCGACTGCACTAGCAGCCCCTTGATGGCAAGATTTTAATTCATCGTTGGCAGACCCCGGGTTTTCGCTACCACTCGTTTTGCGGGTCGTCACATTATCTTTCGTCAGTTGGTCCTCCTCCTCTTATCCTTTTAGTACTCGCAACGAAAAGAGAAAGACGGGCGATCTAGAACCAAGGGACCCTATGTCACGTCTTGAGTGGAGGTAATGCAGATGAAAATACAGGTCATCGAGCTTTTGGGCCTTCTTGTGATTCATCTTTCTTACCTGGGATGATGACGGATTGTTTTCATACTTTAGAATTCCAAGCCGAATTGCGATGTAAGTGGAAGTTTGAGGCAAAAAAATGATGTGAAACCATCTGACCATAGTAGGTCTCTTTTTTCTTTCAAGTAAGACAAATTGCGATTTATTGGGAATCATTATACATGGAAGCAAAAGCTGCCGCCGCTGGTTTCGAGAACTCCTTTCATGTACATCACTAACGCCTCTCCAAACCCCATTTTTACGCGACTTTATCCATAAGCACTCAAAGGATCAGAAGAATCTCCACCAGATGAAGATGATCATGAAGAGTCCCAATCCACCAATTGGTCCATATTGTTTCAACATTAGTTCCCAGTTGATTCTTACGGCAGCTTTGCGGTATTTCTTGCTGTCTTCTCTCAATCTGCTACTGACCTCCCCCATACGCTCCAGGTTATCTCCTCTGTAAAGCAAGTCTTCAATGTTCTTGGTCATAACCTTGGTAACATCTCGGAGTTCATCGTTAAGCTTGTCAAGATTCTGTGTTGCTCGTGTATCGGAATATGTGGATTTTGTCCGCGAAATGAACGTGTCGAAATCCATGAAGGCATATGGGCGTAAGGTCGGAGAGTGTACTTGAGTGGCGGGGTAGGTGGTGTTGAATTCGGTGCAAAGATCAGAGAGGTATGTGAATGCAAGCTTGCGTGGGTATGAGCGTTCGCAAATGCAGAGAAAAACGATGTCGTTGGCAATCATATAGCTGAGATACTGTTAGCAAGGTATGCATAATATGTCCACCGTAAATCCCAGCTGCTGATATGTCACAGGCAATAGAAAGGCAGATAGCAACTCTGTCTCTCCAAAATATAGCATCGAAAACTACCATTTCAAATTCAGACTGCCAATATGCTCCCTCATTGCGCAGTGCCAATATCAGGGGATGATTTCAAGAGTTTCGTGGTGGGAACAATTGTTCATATGCCACATGCGCATTTTATTTAGGAGGAAATTGAGATGTGCGCTTGCTAATTCTCGCTTTGCCATTCCATTTTGTGAGACCGTATGTGCTTCCTGAAATCATGGCTCTAGGCCTTGCTACATCTCACAGTAAGGGCTACAGAACCAACCAGAGACAAGATATACCCAAATCGACCAAAGGATATTGTGCTATTGTACGTACTGCAAAGTATATGGACCACTATCGAGAGTTGCTTGATCGGCGGAATTTCGATTCATTTTTCGGAGAACCATCTTGACTTGTGACTTGATCTCTGCCAGGGAAGCCTCAGTCTGGAAAGTACCCAAGTCAGCTTCGTAATCCCCAACTTAGGAAGAGCATGCGCACCTGCTCGTCGTCAACTGAGGCGCATAACATAAGCCCTGCAGTACAAGGTTAGCCAGATTCTGAAAATATAATCGAGAATCGCCATACCATCCAGCCTGGCAATTTGCGTGGATTTGATCATCTTGTCTGGTTGTAGCTGGAGCTCCTTGAGGTACGTTTATCAAACTTATTAGGTGTTATTGTATGATTATGATATTAATATATGTGTCGCAGACCTTATGTAGATCTTAATTTGATAGCAGAATTATCAGAGAAAGGAAACCTCTGAAAAGTACAGATCAAGAAACTTATTATTCAAAGAGGTGGAAGTGTTCAAAAGGAACTGGTTACTTCAATGGATTCAAAAGCTGTTTCAATTTCCATCATCCATGTCCAGAACCCTGAGTCGGATTAACTCTCTCCGAACACCGACATGACACCTTTCCCCTTATAGCACGAGGCTACCAATGACGCAGTGAGTGAGGAGGAGGCTACAACAGATATTTATTATATTCTCAAAGAATATTTTGGTGAGTTCTTGTTTGTTCTCTTCAACTTTCAACTTCACAACAATCTTCTCCAGATCGGAAAAACTTTCATTCAAAAAAGTCAATCGTTTCAGAAAGGAAACCCTCTGTACTCTAACTTTATTTCTCTCTTTTCTAAGAAGAGAAGATTATACTGCATTATCTGCTCGGCCAATTCTGCCTCATTGCGCTTCCTTCCAGTTTTCTCGACCTTTACTTCTACCTTCAAATCATTTTTGTTACCAATATTCTGATGGCTCTACCTAGTGCGCCTCCTGTTCCGGAGACGACAGCTCCACCGAGCTCGCCTGTTCTGGGCCTCGCGGATTCTGGAATTAATCCCCAGACCGCGGTGGTAGCGACATCAATTCCGGTGTCAGAAGCTTCGTCCTTGACTTATAACGAGGCGATTGGGTTGCTCGACCCAATCGCCCCGTATCAAACAGCAGCAAGATCGGTAAGTACACCCATTTAATCACGTGTTCAAGGTCTAGATTTCGATCTAATATTTAATTTTAGGAGAGGAACCTGGCTTCTACCAGGGAGATGAACCAATTGCCTGCAGAAAGACCGCTCAGTGATCATTTCATGATCTCATCCTGCTCGGATAGAGCCTACGTCCCGACGCCATTCAACACCCCTCGGACCGCATCCGGAAGAGAATCTCACCCTCATCTGGCGCAAGATTCCTCCCCTAGAGGAGAAGAAAACCCATCTATCAGAAGAGCAGCACCTCGTATCTTTAGTGGTGATCTAGGCGAAAAGGAGAGAGTCCACCTTCGCGGAGGAGGCCCAAAGAAGAGGCGTGGTGCTGCTGCTGGTAATGCTCGTAAGAAGCCAAAGCCTGACAAGTACGCGGATGTTGACCACTTGTTGTCGGACTTCAAATCACCCATCTTCCAAGAAGATGCGAATATTAAGGTAACGAATGATTTTAGATTATTTTCACCACATCTTACTAATTTTTACCAGGCGGTTCTTACTCATCCATTGACAAGACACACGATGGCCGAGCAAGGTGAACCATACCCTTTCGACGAGATGACTGGAGATGAGATTGCAACCACTGCCGCAGACTTCAAGTCAGATGGTAGTTACGGAAGATTTGACCCGGACTGGATAGATCAAGCTATTAAAGCATCTCAAACCCGCGCATCTGGTGGATATGATGCCTATCTAGACAGTCAATTCGCAGAAAATTGGGCTGAAGACGAAGAGCAAATCTCAGATGAAGAAACTAAAGACCTCAATGATAATGGCGACCATGGCGGCAGCGGCAGCGGCGAGACAAAGCCTGACAAGAAAGATGAAAAGAATTAGCCGATAATTATCACCTGCTCCCGAAATGTGGTAGTCTTTCGATCCTACCACATATTATAAAGGCTCGAAGGAACACAACAATGCCGACGACCAAATATTGTCAAATGTATCACTGTCTCCGTCAGAACACTCCCTTACATCTAATTCTGAACCTCTCCAAAGCAACAAGCGCCTCCATATCACAACCTTTTACAGCAATCATCCGAAGCCCTTGCTTCTCTACTGCATTCGATTTTTTCACAGTCAAGCTTTACGCAAATTTGAGGCCTCCTCATTCCAGTTCAACCTTTCTTATTTTCAGATCAACAAATTTCATTGCGCACCCGGCGTTCGGTATGTCAGATTAGATACCCACTCGCATTTCTTGATTTTTTCGGACAGCTACTCAAAAAGATACCTTCGGAGTTTGATTTAGGGTTTGTTTTGGGGCTAGTTCGGCTATGTTTATCAAAAGCTTTAATTCTGATTTTATGCATGTGGTGTTTGGGATTTACAGGAGATTTTTCTTTGCAATTGTCATGATGAGCTTCAATTATGGATCAATGCGATGCCATTTTCAAATATCTAATAGGAAGTCAGATAATTATGACCAAGGGAAGGAATACCTGAGGGTTCACGCGAGCCTCGTCTTTAGTTGAGAATCTTCATTAATTGATTCGACTTTTCCTTGAATACGAATAGAATCTGGAAAAAAGCAAGAATAAAAAGTTCTTAAAATTAGGCTCTTTCTAGTCCCATTGTGAAATTGCAAAGTGATGCATTTTCGTTTTGGTTTACCTTCTCTCTGGTATGGTGAACGTTCACTAATCTTATATGCATCGCGTTCGATTGTTCCTGCTCAGTTCTTGGAAGATAAATCAGAAAAATAGCAAAGGTCAAAGGCAAATTCTAACTGATTGATTCTTCGAAACAATTCTCCTTTCGCCATGTCCAAGGCCAGGGTGGCTTTCCTATCAGATAGGCCCATACCCAATAAACGACCAAGTTCTCAACCTACTCAATCTTATTGATAAAGCACTATGTACCGGTTGTCATACCAAAGAACCCCCAAAGAGAGATAACCCCAGCACTAAGCGTTCTAAAGGCAACACTCCCCGGAGCCCCATGTTTCCAACAAACATATCCATCCACAAAGGCCAAGTATCCCAAAGACGCAATCACAACATCCATCGCTTCAAAATGATCGCCCAAATACAAACTCCATAGTGCTAAACCAACGGCAGTAACTCGGGCTGAGCCGGATATCATCACAGGATGAGCGGGTTTAGAAACAGCTATTTTCTCATTGAAGCCAAATGTTCGAATGGCGTTTTCGGCGTTCCAGAGAGGCATGGTACCGCCTATGGTTATTGTTGTGGCGAGGAGGAGAGGAGGAATGTGGCGGAGGATGAAGTGCTCAAACATCTTGATTTGGACGTTTGGTGAGTTTGTCGACTTTGCGTGATGAGATGCTTGGTAGCTGACTTGGGGAAGCAGTTGCGCAATTTGTTGGAGATCTCTTCTAAAGAAACTGAGATTTCGATGATCTTGGGTATTCGGAGTTGCGCTCAGTACTTCATACTAAAAAGAAATTCACGTAAAAAGATGTAAGATTGCTGTATTTTCAGATGCAAGAGAGTGGCGTAAGCGCTTTTGTAAATCATCACTTGATAGACATGCGCAGCTCACATTTCGCGGGGAGCCGCTACCCCGCCGAGCCCGCATTCATTTGAACGTCTAATGGTGAAAATTTGACTGAACCACCAAAATTATACACAAATGTTTGGAAATTTGACAGTGTATTCAATAAGATAGTGAACCTAAATACATGCTATGATAGTTTCATGGTTCGGGTGAATCTTCGCGACAGGCATGTCAATATTAAGATTGTCCTTATTACATCGTCTTCAGGCCCTTGATCGTCAAAAGTGGGCCTTGACGCGCTTGGCTATAGCGTAAATTTTGCTGCATACCCGTTTTGTTTCAAGCGGATCCCACATGGAGAAAGCTTTAGGGTCTAGAGTACAAAAATGGTCCATCTAATGAAGGGACTGCAAGAATAGGCGAAACTCAAATTTCCCCAGGTTACCGGTATGGTGGGAACTAACAATCTGTAAAATCTTCTTCACTCAAGATATTCAAAGGTTTTGTCATTAGAGGACTTATTTCTCTTCTTCCAGACCGGCGCTTAATATCATAATAATGCTCGTTTGAGCCACCCACAATAAACTAGGCAAAGCTCGGTTGAGCGAGATACCTCGGAACGGGGAACTTTCCCCGCGTTCTGGACAGGGGTTCGGCAGATCAGCGCATATAGCTAGACTACCTGCCTCCTCTTCAAAAGCTTAGCACATTCTGAATCGCTGTGGAATTTCTATGAACTTTAGCACTTCTGTTTTTTTCTAATACTTTGCAAACAATCTACTACTTGGAATCTCACAGAACCCGGCCAATCAAGGAGCCTAGCCATCATCATGTCTAAGAATAACTACAAAGACATCATTGTCACCATCCAAAACAAGATAGGAATTATCAAGGTAAGATATCAATATTGGTATGCAATATAAGAATCCGCTGATGCATAATTAGTTCAATCGTCCTCGAGCCCTCAATTCCTTAGGAGGAAGTCTAGTACCAGAAACTATTGCTGCTCTGCGAGAACTAAATGAACACCCCGATACTGTATTTACAGTTTTAACAGGAGAGGGGAGATTTTTCTGTGCTGGTGCAGATGTCAGACGTGGGTTTCCGGAGAAAGCCTAATTAATGTTTACAAAGCGCTAACACGTGAAATGTAGAAGATGGTGCATTATCTGGCAAGAAGGAATATGCCAATGCCGCAGAAAAGAAAATTACATATCTCTCTAAATTTGCTTCATGTAAGCGCCTTTTCACTCCCGAATCTGATTAGAGACCTAATAATCTAGCTCTCGAACTCATGCGCTCGATAATCGACCACACTAAAGTTTTCATTCTCGCTCTAAATGGGCCAGCAGTAGGTGCTGGAGCAGCATGGTTTCCTGGAGTGGCTGATATCGTCCTCGCATCTTCATCAACCTACCTTTCCATCCCATTCTCGGCACTTGGTTTAGTTCCAGAATGTGGCTCTGCTATTTCTTTAACTCAGTCCATGGGTGTTCATCGTGCCAATGAGTTCCTGATGTTTGGAGGAAAACTCACTACAGATGATATCCTATCATTCGGTATCGCTAATCGGATTTTTGAAACAGAAGGATTTGGAGAGAAAGTTATTGAGTATCTGGAGGAAGTTTTGAAAACTAATGATGGAAAAAGTATGATGGAGGCGAAGAGGCTGCAGAACTTGCCATTGAGAGATTCAAGGATATTGGCGGTGTATAATTCGATTGATGCATTGGCTGAAAGATTCGTCGATGGAGCGCCATTTGAAAGATTTGAAGCTAAGAGAAATGAAATGGAGGGTAAGTTCTCGAGTAAACCTTTGATAGTGACATATGGCTAATCGGATTTGCAGCAAAATCCAGAAGTCGAACATCAAAAATCTAGATTGAGGAGTACGAATGATGTATCATTACCAGCGAGGGACATAAGGAATAGAGAGGGTCTGAAGTATTGCATATTACAGTAAAGTAACGATTACTCTTGGCACTTACTCACTGTATATCAATTCTCTTCGTCGAACTGATTCTGCTTTCCTGTACCGTATGAAAGTCGTGAAATAAGCAACCAACATCACAAATGTAAATATCCGTGGACCACCAGTGGACATTTCATTAAGAACAGACAACTGAAAAAGGAAGCCTGTGGTCATTTTTAAGTTTCTGTACCTGTGCACTATATTATACCATGCTCGCCATGGTGGACATATTCACCATGAGCAGATGCAGAAATACGGCTAGCTGTAAATCAGGTGTCTTTCTCCGACCCACGGACCCCACTCAAGATTAATCTCAAAACTGGCGGAGATTCTGTCTTCCATCTCTACTTCACCATTTTGTCAACACATCATGGCCAACGAGTGTGCTGTATGCCATAAGCAGGGCGAAAGAGTCCTCCGTTGTAGTCGGTGTCGTTCTCGAGAGTATTGTGGTATGTTCCGAATTGCGAGAAGATTCTTTTGAGGCTTGTATTGAATTGAGTCTTATCATGTGGAAGACCCAATTGATGTGGGAAATCTACACTACATGAAAGATTCAAAGTCAATCGTAACGTACATGGGTTAAGCCAAATGCATCCCAAGATCTTCATATGCTGAATGTTTGTTCACAGGTGCAGATTGTCAAACCAAGGACTGGCCGAATCACAAGGCAGCGTGCAGACGCCAAAACTACATTTTGAAGGTCGATCTCTTCCCTCGTCATTTCACAAACCCTCGCATCAGCCGAACTCTCTCGTGTCCTACCACAGCGTCTTTTGCTGACCTACATAATGCCCTACAAGTCGCATTTGATTGGAAAAACTGCCATCTTTACGATTTTGAAGTTCTCGATCATAACGAAACCATGGGCTCCGAACATAGGCTTGTTATGAAGCCGATGCTGTGCAAGATTACTGATCTTGACACGTTGGATTCTGACAGCGACCCAGCCAAGGACAGCAAACGCACTAAGCTTTATCAGATTCTGGATGGAGAACGCACCACTGGTAAGACCATCCATTATATGTATGATTTTGGAGACGGATGGGAACATGTTATTACCTGTAGCGGGCGAGCGGATCCAACCACCAACTTCGTCGTATTAGGTGGTGAAGGACATGGATGTGCGGAAGATGTGGGAGGGTATAGTGGATGGGTTGACCTACTCGCAGCTTATGAGTCTGATGAGCCGACGGAGCACCAGAGACACTTAATGTCTTGGTTCGAAAACGAGGCTCATAACAAGGATCCGAGAGGTCTGCGGGGAGCAGCAAGGTACGCGTGGGACAAAGACAGGATCAATGCAATCTTGAACGAACTTGATACTTCCAAGCTTCCTGGCCACCCTACTTCAATCCTTCTGGTATCCTTGGCTAAGGAGTCATGGTTTGACCAAATGTACGCTTCTGTGCTTACCGAACTTCGCTCTAAAACCATGATTAAAGAGGTGACAGATGGTGCATCGGCAATGAAATGTATTGAAGAAACACAAAAATTTGGCACCATCATCGTTACGGATGCGGCAATAATGGAACCCGAGTTTGTTGCTATTAGTCGAAAGTTGGTTGAATATGCAAAGGCCAGAGGAATTTTGATATTCGGATTTTTATTATCAAGCTTGACCGAGCCACCAAAATTTGAGGAGTTGATGAAAAGCTATGGCTTAGGTTGGAAGTTTGGTGATTATACTCGGGAGACCTACGACATCAATAAAATGGCCGATCTCAACAAAAAGTACAATTTAATGCCTTACAGCATGAAAGCTGTCAGTTTGAAGAACACTAGGCCTGAAGACAGAGTCTATTCTGGCCCTGGCCGCGATAAAAATCAGAGTCCCGCAGTTTTCGCAAAGTATGGAAGTAGCGGGGGTCGGATTGGTTGGATTGGCGATGTCAATGGAGAGGAAGAAACGACAACACTGCTTTTAGCAATGTGTGGACTTTGAGATCTCTCGATGTTCTGCTACTTCAAAAATATCAAAACATCCATTCAAATTAAATTACATACACCTCTCTTGTTTTGCTCTAATAGCTAAGTTCCAAGTCTCATGACTTCCAAAATGAACGCATAACTCCCCCCAAACATCACGCAAATTTCTTTGTATGTCTTGCGGTGCCCATTTTGATTGCTTACGGTGACTGACAACTGAAATCGTCCTTCGAATTGTAAAATCCAGGCAGCTTTGTCGAACCCATCAGAAATCATTTATATACTACACGGCTTTAGGGTAATCAAATCATCGTTCAAGTCACAAACCCCCAGATCCGCTCCGATGTTATCTTTGTTGGGAGGCATAACATTTTATCAAATAGATTCTCGACATTAAGATTACCTAGGTACCTTCAAGTTTTGCATTTCTAATCAATTTTCCAGAAAATCAAGGCATTGTTTCACCCATACCCATCTAGCTATTTCTCGCAATAATTATGAGGATCCTTGGTGATTGACACGAATACTACAAGCCGCAGTCTGTCGTATAAAACATGTTCAGAAACTCAAACTTACTGATGCTGCTGAGGATTCATCCTCCTTCCGTTATCCACAGGAACAATTGACGGTACTTCAGCTGAAGGAGTAGGTGTCCGTTCGGGTGCCCTTACATAGACGTTTGGCTGCAATTATTTCGACGTAGGATCCTCGCGGAATATAAGCGGCGGCTTTGGATTTGCATAGCTTCTCGGATTTTCTGCCACTGAATAATAGCTTGCATGAATATACGAGCGTGGATCGCGAGGATGACCGGACTTATCAAATGTGCGCATACTGGTGCTGGATACGTAGACATACGGGGATTGTCCGGACGACGTATCCGGGGATGAATGAGAATCAATCGGCAAGACTCGACGATTGGGGTGTAGAGGTGGTATCTGTTCTTCCGGGCTTTTCAACAGAGCGATTCTAAATGGATCTCGATATAATGATGTATCAATAGTAGCAGGAACAGAAACAGTGTCATCAGCGCGACCGAACTTGAAAAATAGAGCTGTAAGTATACAGAACTCTACAGAATATTGCTGGGGACTTGCTCCCTTTGTTCTCAGATCCACATAAATCATGCTTTCAACACAAACGATAGTTTGGTGGGATAAAAAATTCGATAAGAGATGTAAGAGCAAGAGAACAGACGATAATATGCTTCAGTTTTCCAAGGTTTACGTAGCGATGATCACTTATCAAATACTACGCCTTGCCAGAGCTCGATCAAAAAGAAACAAAGATATATGATTAGGTCAAAAGGCCTACGTCATGACCGCTGTTCATAGAGACGTATCCTTTTTGAAAAAAAAAATCTTATGGGAAAGAAAGAGAGTACAGACGCTAAGGGTGAGGTCTGTACATGGTGAAACATGAAAAATAAAGTGTAGGAAAGTAGCGGAGAGATAGGATTGATGATCAGAACATAGACGAGATACGGTATATGAGTCGAAGAAAAGAGATGAGAGATACAGAAGGAAGAGGCTAAAAGAAAGGACCAGGATGCGGGGAATAATGTTTCAACCTTGCGAACTTACCAAGATCGAGGTGTGCATAAAGCACGCTCTCCGTCTGATCTGAGACGTGCAGAATACTGAACGTCCAAGGTCAAGGATGAATGGAGTTCAGACCCTTCGAATCTTGTCTACCGAGGAAGAGCTGAATGAATCTAATAAAAACTGTATGCTTTATTTTTGTATTTGTTATTATACACAGGGGTATTAATCGCAAGGTATGCCAAGGTATCGCAGATTTCGTACCCTTCCCCATAACTCCATGTAGACATGAACATCTTTGATCCCATGGCATTTAAAAATGCCGCGTCGCATCTCCTTTTCTGTAGTCGCTGCTCATCATGCGATCCTGCAAGAAGCGTATCTTGCATCATAAAATCTAAAAATGAGGTATTCGTAACGTTTCGGTTGTCTTTAACAGTCCGTGAACGAAAAACATGGAATTAAAAACGCACATTTCGTAATCATCTATAGCTGCGATTCCTATCATTTCCTCGCCCGGCATTCCAATTATTGCCATTACGGTTATTGCTGTTGCCAGCACGACCTCCTACAAGGTTGTCGCTGTAAAGTCCTTGGCTTCTAGCGTTGGTACGACTGCCCCCATCCCGGTCATCGGTATCCATGCGATCGTCAAATCCGTAGGAGCCATCGATAATATCATCCCGAGAACTTCGCGAGCTATCATATCTTGAATCATAGCTATCAGAACCTGTACTGCGCTCAACACGGCTAGCTCTTGGACCTGTAGGAACGCCTAATCGAGGAGCAGAACGTTGGCTAGCAGGTTGAAGCGTTGGCGCAGGAGCTCCCGACTTGTTGTAAACGTTCAATAAATTACCATCCGCCTATGATGGGCTCGTTAGTAATGCTTCAAGAGTGTTCTACCTTCAGTGAAAATACCTCTTGGTTGTTGAATGTATCAATGACATTGTCAGCTCCATCTTTCGTATCAAAAATGATCTCAGCGATAATTCTGGGGTAATCAGAGATAAGGCGGCAGCTTAGTGGAGGTCCACCAACTGGTGTCATCGCCGTCTCGATGTCTTGTGCTGAAGTGCCTCGCGCGAAGTTTTCTGCCATTACAATGTATGGTCCTGCGAGTCCCTTGATGGACATACTCTTAGTCGCCTTCGACTTTCCAACGATATTATACTGAGCGTTCAAGTTCGGTGTTGATGCTGAGCCGTTGAAAGCTTTCGCAAGTCGATCATTGCGCGCACGCGTATTGATATTCTTAGGGCCACGAGGAGGGTTTTGAGATGTTCTGGAACTGCCTGGGTTATTAAGAGAGTGCAGATCATGAGTCCATTCCGCATCAACATTTCCGACAGTAGGTGTGGAATTCTGCCTTGGTGCAGGTTTGGGTGTAGCCAGGCCGCGCTATTCGATTGTTAGATTCTTAGATCTGTAGACACCTGCCAGTAGCCTTCATACCTTTCCAACACCCATTCTGCTTGCGAGTGAGGGACCAGCGCCTGGCTTGCGATTGTTGTTTGTCGCTCCTGGCGCACTTGCTCGACGATTCTTGCCCAGGAATTTGTTTGCTAGAAGCTCATCCTTGCGACGCTCACGTCCTAATCTTATGTCAGTCACTGACGGCACAGCAAACATACTGTATATTCCGATCAAGATTACCTACCTTTGTTAATGAATCCATTGAAATCGGGTAAGTCAGTTTTGGGTGCCATAGTGTTAAGTTGCAGCTACCGCTACCTGTTATTAGTGTTATGAAAGTGATAAATTTGCAGATTTCCTAAAGTCCTGATTCAACTATACTCAAAAAGGTGGATGAATATCTTCAAGATCGAATGATAATATTTGAGGTTAAAGACAGGATTTAAGGTGAATGAGGGATAGGATGGCCGAGGGTAAATAGAATCCTAAAGTTCAGGTCGCGAAAGTTTAAGGTCGCATTTGGAGAGTACGCGAGTGACTGTGAAGCGGAAAATGCGGCCGCGTGATCAAGTGTACGGCTTGGGTTGAGTTAGAACGAACATCCTCTTATCTTTGTGCACTCGAACGTATAAGACATGATGAATTTCGAGTAGCTCCGTGTATAATGTATATTGAAATTGATCCAAGTTTTCGAGATTTGGATCGTTTTGTAAATTGATGTACCACCAGGGCTGGACTTTAAGAATAGAAATCTTGCAACCTCGTTACCCCCTTTCCTATTCTAAGGGGAACAAGACTCATATTGATTGATTATGACATTACAACTCAGGTAGGTACGAATGACATCCACGTAGGTTGATTCCTTTACTCTTGCCATTTCTCAAGGGTCTAGTATGGGATATTGTCCATTCAAGTTTCCTTTTCCTTCTGATTCTCTTCAATCAACAACCCGATCTTTATCTGTTGATTTCTTTTGGACTTTTGGTTAACGGACTACAAACAAGTAAGAAGAGACTTTCTCTCTATCCTCCGTATACTGGTCTAATCTAGCCATTTCGCTATCCATCCCATGCTTCTCATGATCTATATCTTCCCATCCTTGGATTTGCACCCCCTAACTGATGAAGTGTAGGTAAATCCTGAAAGCGAGTTAGACAACACGGCTTCCATATCATTTCAAGCCCCTAAAAAGATGAACGATGAAAATGTACCTCTACCTCGAACTCCACATACGCCCAACTCACACAAGCTCCCCGATTTGGGACGGACATCTTCCCAAAAAAAAGCTCGACAAATTTTTGATAGTTTAAGAGGTTTGAAGTCACGCGGGAGACCCAACATTAATTTGGAAGATGAGGGAGGTCATTCTGCTGGTACTTCTAGCCCTATCCGTCGCAAAAACTCAACATGGGACTTCTTGGGAACCGTTCGCAAAAAGAGATCTGGTGAATTCGGTACTCCCGAGAATGAAAGACCTCTCACCACGACTCCTCTCAAAGCCGAGCCGCAAATCAGTAAGTAACAATGATGTTAAATTATCCTCGTTAATCTAATATCATGTTTGTAGACGAGGCATCGAAACTGCTTCCAAGAAGACGGAAGAGTCTCGTTAATATACTTGGAACAATCTCCAACAAGGTATCCCCTAGACGTGGTACAATCCTTCCTGAAAACACTCTCGAGGAGAAGATATTACCAAATCATTGTGAAGAGGACGTTTTTGCCGAGAAGTTGGCGAAAGAGTTGATAAATTTGAAAGCAAATGATTCGAGTCTTTTGCAGACATCAGCATCTGATGGCCAATCAAGATTTCCTCAGGAAAGATTAGGAGGGAATAATTTCTTGGAAGAGAATCTCAACACCATAAGCCAAAGTGAGTTCATCAATACGTTGCAATGATCTTGCATGGAAGGAACATGTCTAAATAATACTCAAGATCTTCAAAAACTGCGACAGTCTGAAGATCCACCGAATGGTCGAGCAGGATACGACGCAGACAGTTGTGAGTTTTCCTACTTCTAATACTCTAGAGGTATATGTTTTGACACTTTGACTGCAGGGACGAGTCAAGCGCAAACACTACAAAGTGTGTGGTCCAACGAGCACTTGACAAGCCAATCTCCAACAACAGAAGTAGATGTAGATGAATCAAAAACGCCAGACTCATATCTTTGCTCGATGATTAAGTCTTTTGACGAATACAACAATCAACCATATGCCGCCAACGGAAAATATTTGATTATCTCCCCATCGCCCTCCCCTGACAAGTTACACCCAACCAAACCCGTTGATTTTCTGAAGGATTCGAGCCCAGATGTGATTCCTGAGAGATCAGGTCCAAGGTGATTGCTTCTTTCAAGTTGCAAACCATAACTAACATTTATTCTAGCAATCAATTTATGCATACAATTTCGTCAATAGGTTGCCAAACCAACACACTGGCAATACCAGAGCGAAAGTGCCACCAAGGGACACGACCAACGATTACGATTAGGGAAGTGACATCTGATGCTAAATCTGACTCGGTGTTCGAGGATCAGATAGCTCCATCACCACCAACTTGGCAAGCCACAGCGAGATTTAGAAACGCAATGCTAGAAAGGAGAGCCAGAGTTCCTTATCAATTTAATGGAAATGATGTTCAAAGGGTCGATTCCCCTTCTGTTAACTCGGTTGAAGAACGAAAGAGTCACTGTAAGAACTTACAGCCACCCCCTTCCAAGTTCAATGAATCAGATCAACAGAGAATTGCCCGTAATATTAAGCATACTGTAAATAGAATGACAAAGAATCTCCATCTTTCATGTTCCTCGGAAGAGATAATAGAAGATTGGGACGAGGGGTTCTCAAAGGAGGAGGCATCTGACGGAGACCAAGACACCATTCCAGAGACAGTCGAAGATGTTCGTACAAAAACAATTGAGGAAGTCTCGGGCGTTAAGATGATACGCAAAAACATAAGTTCGTTCACTAGCAGGCAGTTTTTGGACGGCGCAATGTATGTCAGATATCCTCAAACAGAGGCCAAATGGCACCACATGCGATACTTCCCAACAGGAAGTCTTGCCATTTCAGACATTCGCAAACGAAACGAAGGGGAATACTCGGACACGGTATCATATTGCCCAGAAGAAACTTGCATTTACGTTCATCTATGGGGGAAGGTTCCAAAGCCAGAGCTTGAGCTTAGTGTTCGCGTTAAATACCCGGAAACAAAAACTCGATGGGCTCGAACCAAACTCTATGACAACGGCGATCTTGCCATGGCTGGTATTGACCAAGAGAATCGATGTGAATTCTCAGACATTAGATACGATGCATCCGAACGCTGTTTTCATGTTTACGCGTGGGGTGATATTGTTGAAGTACCGAAACGTGAGGTTCGCGTTGACTATTCAGAAATGAAAGCTGGATTGACAAGAACACAAACCTACGGAAAGAATGATTTAGCACTGGTTGATCTGTGTGAACAAAGCCGTGGAAGTTTGTCAGAAGTCAGATACAATACCTCGGACCGCAGGTCCCAATCTTTCACATTGGATGAAGCTATGGATGAACTCCACAGTTGTCCCTTCCCAGGTTTCCATAAATCAGAGACGGACCGCAAAGTTTGTCTTGGCTCTCCAGAATCGACTCAAACCCAAATTTTCGACCCTAAGCCGGATATCTCACGAGTTGAAATCGACAAGAATTCCACTTTTGCTTGCAGTGCTCCAGAACAAAGCTCGCGTGTAGGAGCACAAACGGCAGGTATTGAGCCGATTTACAGAACCCGCGAGCCTGCATGGAGACCAACACTATCGCCTCTCGGTGATAGGGATGAAAGTGACCAAGACTTACCTGATTTCTCCGATTTGGAGAATGAGTTCCAACTTGTTACCGTTAAATCTCCTGAAAGTTCTTCCCTCAGTATAGAATCGCAAGAAGAATCAGAAGAAGCAGCTGGTGAGGATATTTCACTTAGCAATGATATGAGCCTCTGCGTAGAAGCTGGAACTCCTCGAAAGTCAGATCATGAATTTATCACTGAATTATTCACGGGAAACGATTCTGATAAACCGGCACCTCTTCTTAGAGGCTCTAAGCAGATTCTTCAATATTTGGATAGCTTTGATGGTGTAAATCGCAGCGGCAATTCGATGCACGCAGAAAATGTTCTTCAGTCAAATCGCAAGACCGCAACAAAGATATGGGCTGAATCCGGAGATGCTGAAGAAATATACCATTCTATTGAACCAACTCCTGAAAGCGTTCAAGCTATGATAGACGAACTTTTCGCTCAAGCCACTCACCACGCAAAGCTTGACGACTCTTCGGATGACGGAAATGCGTCTTTCAAAATCGAAGTTGTCGAGGAAGAAACTAGAAAGTGTTCAAATTCATCTTTTGAAAAAGTCCACAAGCACTCAAAGTTTCTTGATAATCAATATTGCGGAGCTTCAGGGTTCAACGAAATTCCCGAGAACCAAGAAGAGACAGCTTCTGAAACGGGGGGTGCAAAAGAGCACGCTATTTTCAACTTTGGCAAGGATACGATACATCGCAGGGAGCGTTCAAATGCCATTTCTGGAGAAGGTCCTTCAGTGGCTGTGCGGTCGAACACATTGGATGAGAATATATACATTCTTCCTATCAATAATATTGATTTATACGAGGAAAACGCAGGTTGTGGAAATCCAAATTCACCCTGCCCTACAGGAATCGATGAGAATATAGCAGCGTTTTCTACTGACGCGGACTTGACAGTCTTGGTTCCAGAACCCATTGATTCTGCGACTGTAACTAACCACAAAGTGAATGATAATCTTTCCAGTCTTGATCTAGCCAAAGCAGAGTTCGAGAAGGAAGAAGAGACAGCCAATATCAGGCCAGGTCTCTGGGCCGGCACCTGTACAAAAGAGCAGAATAAGTGGGATGCGTCCGCATGCACTACATCTTCTATATTCAGTAAACTAGGTCTTCAAGCCGCGCTTGTGCCAGCAGCATCCAAAATCGAGGAATTCGCAACATCTGATAACAAAAAAGATGAGCTAACAGATATTCCGAAAGGCAAGGAAAACCTTAATCAAAGCCCCAGTCTTCGTGTAGAAACAGTATCGCAAGCATTTATAGACAACGAGGTTCTTCCACAACTCAACACAAAAATTGAATCGAAGCGAGTCCCTACTTTAATAAACATCTTTCACTCACGAGGAATGACGTCCCCATCTTCAGCTCGGCCATTTTTAGACAAATGTTCTTCTCCTCTCCAGCCAATCTCAACTCCCAAACGAGTGGAGACATACACTCCAAT